TAGAAATGAAAAGCTCAACATGCTAGCAACACTGAAACAATAGAAATCTACAACAACTTAGCGTGACTCATACAAATTCCGTGACTACTTACCGATTCATAAAGTTATCCAACACTCAACTTTCTAATTCAAACTCGACCTCAAGCCAACTTTCTTCCACTCTTTCTCCCTCCTCGACGCACGGCACGCCACACCCAACAGCGCTCGGCGCAGCGCGCGCAAGAATTTAGTTTTGATAATTTTTTCGATAATTTTAGATTATTTTTCTGCTCAGTTCGGATACCCGTCATCCTGTATGTGACTAATTAAAATCATAATTCTGGAGAAGAATTGAACTATTTTCATCATATTAGCAGTCTTCTCAAGTCCTTAATTCTCGTAGCATTTTTATTAGTGATATTTTCACAATTACAGTTAAATTGCAGTTCACTGGAGATGCACTAGTTTACCTTAACTTTCAAGTATTTCGTCAAGGATGGCAACATAAATATTCACAACAGCCTGGATGAATCAAATATCAATCCGGTTAAGCTTCATCGTAAATATAATTATGTTTATGAGTGGGTGATTATGATTGACCAATTAACTAATAACTTGACCAACTGATACACCCATTAATATAAATATATAATCGTAATCGTTTACACTTCCTCAAAATCACACTATAAATAATAAAGCATTTTTCAAGAAATAAAATGTTCGTACAGTTTCATCGGAAGGACCCACGAAAAGAATCGCTCGTGGCAGAAAAATTAGCTAGACTATATCCAAAAAAGTAAAGCTATTTTCGCGCTAGCGTGCTCGTCATTTTGACCTAGTTTGGCCCGGCAAAAAAGTGTAGCAGTGTTACGTCCGCTCTCTTGCTCGTGCTTAGGACATCAAAGTGTGTTGCTATTTGGACAGTATGTGCCGTTTATTTTTCTGAGAGGCAGGCCGCAAGGCCGCCTAGCAATTATGCAAAAGAGTAACAAATTCCTGATAAGGTCCAGTAATGGTCAGGCAGTGACGGATAACGACCTGCGGTGCCTCTAGTTCCCGCCCTCCAGATCTATTGGACGAAGGCCTTCAGGTATAATGACTTTTCAGGTCTATTGATGAACGAAAGGTAAGATGATGCTGAGGTATGATGACTAAGAGAAATATTTATAGAAAGGTAGAAAATTGCTTAATTTTATGTCGCGGAATATAAATTATATATCAACAAAACTTCAATAGAATTAATGTTAATGGAATGAAGGTATAGTGGAGGTAAACCTGGGGCAAGGTAAATAGATATCGAGGTAGGATGACTCATAAACAAAGATAAAGTATTGATAGAAAGGTAGAAAAAGGATAAAAATCTAAAATATCAATGCAATATAACTAATATTTATGAAATGAATGCATAGTTGAAGTAGGGGTAACGTGTTCATTATGAAGAAAGTTGACGACAATATAGAAGGCCGCGTTGATATAACTAAAATTAAAGCATTGAAGATAAAGTTGAGGAAAAAGCAGGAATGTCGACATAAAGTAAGTTGACAAGACATAAGGAGGCACGCGAAGGACGCAACCCTCATTAGAGTTGGAAAATAGGAGGTAGGACCTACGGCCCTACACTGATTGGTAGGTCCTACCTTTACGTGATCACATGAAAAGAGACGCCGGGACAGATCACATGAAAAGAGACGCCGGGACAGATCACATGAAAAGAGACGCCGGGACAGATCACATGAAAAGAGACGCCGGGACAGATCCTGTCTCTTATACACATCTAGATGTGTATAAGAGACAGGTGTAGGGCTCACTTCTACAGTGGAGGACCTAGGGCTCACTTCTACAGTGGAGGACCTAGGGCTCACTTCTACAGTGGAGGACCAAGGGTTCACTTCTACAGTTGGGGCTAAGAACAGTAAGAAGTGACTAGTGAAGAGGCTAAAAGAAGCCGCTCAGGTTGACACGATTCTTTACCTGGCAGATAAAGATTTGAGTTTAACATTCACTCTATTACAACAAATTATTTCATATATATGTAAGTACACCCTCTATTCTTATAGTAGCTTACGGAGTGAACTTTCAACGCCTTTATTGTAAGATCGCCGACTGATGATCAACCACCTGCAGTGCACTCAGTGCACGACCACTTACATTCAAACTATTCCATCAAATTAAGGCACAGTATAGTTTTAATATAGTTTATGGAGTGGACTTTTTACGCGGTTATTGTTATATCGCCGAATGAAGGTTACGACCAGTAAATCGTCCTCCGACTATCTCCAGCATCTCCAGAGAAATATGTGGACATGTCTTAATAGCTATACACTTTTTGCCTTTGTGTGAGTCATTCTGACCCAGTTTGGCTCGGCAGAAGAAGGCATCAGTAATTCATAAGCCTCTGCTCGTTCTTTGGGCAAGAGAGAGTGCCACTATTTGGACAATATGACCATACATTTTTCTAAGTGTAATGTTCTGCCGGAAAATCGAACGACTTGAAAGAGAAACCTGCGTGTTGTGGCAAGCAAGCAGGCGCGTGCGATGACGAAAAGATGACTTTCCTCCATCCGACATGTCATTGCTGCGGGTGCACGCTGAGAAAAATTAGAGCGACATTGTCCAAACAGCAATGCACTTGTGCCCTTATGTGAGTCATCCTGACCGTAACAGTGTTATACATGCAGAAAGTGCGTCTATATTTCATAATATTTGGACAATAAGTCTCCTTCATTTTTCCAAGTGTGCAATACATTGAAACATGCACTCAGCTACTATAGGCACGCTAGACACGCACGCTTCACACGCACGCTTGACACGCACGCTAGACACGCACGCTTCACACGCACGCTTGACACGCACGCTTCACACGCACGATTCACACGCACGCTTGACACGCACGCTTAACACGCACGCAACCCACTCGCATTTCACGATGAAAATAGTCATTTGACCACCAAGGGAAATGTTGCGTATCAGCACTCAGAGAAATGAGCAGGTTGTTGTCCACATTTTGCTCACACCCCATATCATACTTATGGATGTGGGGACTTTTCGACTCACTAACGACAGAGAAAAGTCCTTTAACTCTTTAACTTGCGCTGTTCCTGCTAGAAAATTTATGAAGGTAGCGCGTTAACAGTTGCAATTTGTCTTATCACATTTATCAAGGTTCATTCATTTAGGACGTCATTTATGTATTGTATAAACTTTTTATTGGCATCACGAGCTGACCTTCAATACTGACGAACCCGGCCTTCGAGAATATATTTGTACAATCGTATAAAAAATTAATAAAACAATGATGAAAAATTATATGAATGATCTTTTGATAAAATGATGACATTTTCTAGATCTACTCAATTCTTAGCTCTAGCCTTAGAGCCCAGTTAAGTTAACAAGTCGAATTTTAGGAATGGTGCTTCATGTATCCAAGACCAATCCAGTCTCAGTCTGGTACACTGATCGGTTCTAAAATATCAACTACGGTATACATGAAATTAAAATTTTGTACTAGATTTTTAGAACCAACATGATATGGGCCATTATTCATTTTTAACCTCCTGAATTCCACCCTGACTGAGTGAGAAGTACAGACGTTAATCGTTAGATTATGCAAATACTTCTTCCACAATAGAAGTTACTTATATTCATACTACTTAATCATAAAGTTACTCATCCTCATACTTCTTCCACATTAGAAACAACCTTTACTCGTATATTGGTATTTCTCATCGCTATTGGACAAAAGCAAACTTTGTGATTTAAAGCAGAAGTTATAAATGTCAATGTGGATAGTTTATCAACGTTTAAACAATTTTAAGTTACCTTTGAGGAATTAGATCCGCTGCATAGCCGAGAAGTTCAAAGTAGCTATTAGGATTTTTATGAAAATATCATTGGGTTATCACAATTTAACATTAAATTTGCAGTCTTGAATGAAAACACTCTTATGATAGGAATGTTTCGAAGCTTGTGTGATGCAGTACGAAAACCAAGCCCAGCGAGCTTTTAAAGGGAGTTTCCACTAACACTTTTTAGCTCCACACCAACACAACCTCACTCGAAGAGCCGTACCGGCACACTGACCGAACATTACTCAGTCAAGTCTAACCACTCAGGTTGGCTGAGCCTGGCCGGATCGCTGTATTGTCTGGCAGTAATTAGAGACCAGGTAAATACCGAGCGTGTGTGCTCACCTGTAGTTGGTTTACGTGACAAATGTTCTGTAGAAAAAGCAATCGCATGTGCAGAGATTAATGGAAATAACGTTTCTTCCGTTTGAAAAGGAAATCAACAGCGATCAATCTCGGTAGTAATTTTATAAGTTACATTATAAGAAATTTAATCAAAATATTGTTTTACACTTACACGATATAAAGTAATTCTAACGTTTTTTTGCGTTCATGGGATATGAAGCAAATTATTCAACCATTTCACGTTCACACGATATAAGAAAAATTCTATCCCTGCTTTCCGTTTAAACGACACGAGACAAATTATTACTTGAATGTGTTTTCATGTTCTTATAATTATTTTAGAATTATTTACATGCAATGATAATTAAGTTGTATACCGTTTTCCGTTTCCAGGACAGGAGATTTAATTCAAATATTGTTTCCTGCTGTCACACTATAGGGATTTATTGCAACATTGTTTGCTGCTTTTCTTGCGATATAAGCATTTTATTATCCCAGCTATTTGATTGTTAATTTCCAAATACTTTCCATAATAACTTCCCGCGATATGATTAATTTCCTCACAGTTTCCATCGTAACACAAAAATATCTTTGCGTCCTATGCTAATAAATAAATAATACACAAATTGAAATTTAATTGAGGAACAAAACCTTTAATATGATGAACCCATTAAATCAGACATACGTACCTACAAAAAAATGTAATCACTATAGAATGATTACTGTAGAAATAATTATTGAATAATCCTGGTTGAAATAATCATTAGTTTGTTTCATGATCATAATCACAATAATCATCATCATCTTTAAATTATACTATGATTCACTCACCGTCTGCGTATGACACCATTTGTGCCCTGGCTAAGTCCTCGCGGACCGGGGATCGAGGCTGACATCGCGGGGGCAGAGGAGGAGGTTGGTAAGGGGAAGCTGAATTCGGGGACATCGTGGGACCAAGTTGGGGGAAGCGTTGATTTTGTTGTTGTTGTTGTTGCTGTTGGTGGTGATGATATAGTTGTTGTTTGTGTTGATTTTGTACTTGTTGTTGTAATTGTTGATCTCCGGATGCCGTGATACGAATGTGTTGTTGCTCGGTGATGTGCTCGTTTTGAGTGTCGTGTTGTTGAGGTTGTGTTGTGTTGCTGTGTTGATCGGCTGGTTGCTGTCGCTGAAATTGTTGGTGTAGACGATGAAGGAAAGAATTTTCTGGAATGCTCTCGAAAATTTGCTTTTTCACTGGCGATTCACAGTTTTGTTGGTCGTGTTTGTTGCTCAGTATCGTCTGAAGAAAAAAAAAAGAATTTTAATTCACATTGAATATTGAATGCATCCGTTGTGCATTAGAATTCAGTTTGTTCAGTGCATTTTTACGTTCAAAGTTGTAAGTCATTAATTCAAGATTGAAAACAATTTGCAATGATAATTAAAGATAAGTTCTCCTAACCGGCACAAATTCTACACACAATTTCAACACATGAAACTTTTTAGCGCATTTTCTCTTTTATGGAAAAAATGCACTATTGTGCTCGCCATGTCTGTCTGTCTGTCTGTCCGTCTGTCCGTCCGTGACCTCAAGTTTTCGTCGACGAGAAAATGCGCTCCCTGTCACTCACTGCAGTGAGTACTGAGTTATTTTTTTAAATTTGAGCATGGTATATCGTAACAAAATAATCCCCCTTCACTTTCCTTAATCCGTTTGGAAAGAGTTGCGGTTGAAATAGTAATTTTTGACCTCAGAGTCGTCGTTTCTCAGCCCGCTCTTTTTAGCGCATTTTCTCATTTACGAAAAAATGCACTATTGTGCTCGCCATGTCCGTCTGTCCGTCCGTCTGTCAGTCCGTGACTACACGTTTTCGTCGACGAGAATATGCGCTCTCTGTCACTCACTGCAGACTGCAGTGAGTACTGAGTTATATTTTTTTCAATAAAAGAGTATTTCAGGTCCCAGCTTGATTAAGTAGCATTTCATAGTTATTATGTTACATTAGCTTGATACAAATGTGCCCATTTTCATCCTGAAAATTTTCAGAGATTTCAATCGCTGGCACTAGCCGTGCACAAAGCGATGTTGTGGACGCTCCAATTTATTTTAGTTTATCATCAAAGACACACATTTTCTCCCTCCGAATTCGAAGGTTTCGAAGAAAACAAATTTATTTCAGCAATAACTGTTTGAATATGAGCATGGCTTGAAGAATTGTGCACATGCAGAGATGTTTGACTAAATTCTCCTCTTTTTTCATTTATAAGTATCTGAATCCAAAAAAGTTCTTATTCATACCATAATTTAACAAATATTTTTAATAAAATCAAAATTCAGCACCTGGACGTATCAGTGTGGTAAGTGAAACTATTTAACTAATGTATAATGCTACTTCTGGTACTACTGTGCTACTTTGGCTACTCTCGGGGAAATGAGTTCACTTTCTTCAAGTAGCGATGCAATTTTTATCCTTGTGTGGGTCATCTTGACTCAGTTTGGCTAATAAAAGGGTGCATCAGTGCTACGTTAAAAAAGTGTTTAATTATTTGGCCAATATAACTCATTAATTTTGTCTAAATGTAGTAGACGGTAGACAGCTAAGGTACAATATTGCAACTAGAACTTGCATAACCTCTACAGTTATGTAAATCCTAAACATTTTTATACATAACATTTCTTGTAAAAAGGCCGCAAATGCAGACTATGTGTCATGAAATCAAGTTTTTATGTTTACACGCTCCAAACTGAAGAACAACATAATACACTCATTAATTACACTCATTAATTTAGTCTCAGTGACGCCCATAAGCACTATTGCAACAGTCAACAATTTTTGGTTCGAGTTTCGAGGCAATTTTGCTCCTTAATGAAGCCTTTTTTTATTGTATGCCTCACCTCGGCGTTGGCGCTCTCAGCTTGCGTCACGTTGACGTTCTTGGTGTGCATCGTAGCAGATCCCTGCGGAGGGAATGGAAAGTGTTAAGATTAGATACATTTTCACCTTGTCGTTACCACTCTACCATCCAGTAGGCCGAGTTCACACCATAGTGCCGGGCAAGTACCAGGCATATCATATGCCAGTCACGGTTCACTCTAATATTTTTAGCGCATTTTCTCATTTATGGAAAAAATGGGGAGCGCAGCCGTGGGTAACAAAATTGACTCGTAAATAGGCCCTGGGCCTAACGCCAACCATCAGCATGCAATATCTACGCATAGCCTCAGACCAATGAGCTGTGGGTAACTCCAGCTAACAGTAAATCCGCTTTGCACAACACAGCCACTGCTCCACAGCGCCGCAGCGCAACTGGCCGGAGCGCAACAGGCCCTACCGCAACAGGAGGCGCAGGTTATGTTAGGTTAGGTTAGGTTACTTTCGGAGTAGCTGTTGCAGTAGGGCCTGTTGCGCCCCGGCCAGTTGTGCTCCGGCCTGTAAAAGTATGCGCTCCGGCCTGTGACTGAACGGCGCTGTTGTGGTGGGCGCTTTATGTCAAAAGCCGTGAAGATGCCCGGCTGCGTTATGCTTGGGAAGGTATATGAATCGCACTGTGGACTTGGGCTATGCTGACCTCTAGCTATCCACCCGAAAAAAATGCACTATTGTGCTCGCCATGTCCGTCCGTCCGTCTGTCTGTCCGTATGTCCGTCCGTCTGTCCGTGACCTCAAGTTTTCTTCGACGAGAAAATGCGCTCTCTGTCACTCACTGCAGTGAGTTCTGAGTTATATTTTTTAATTCATCTCCATAGAAGCATTCGCACCATTGCCATGCAGGTGCCTTGCACGGCTATTGGGAATGCTTCTACGGAAATGCATTAAAGAATATTAGACTGGACTGTGACTGGCATATGTCTGGCAGTACAGAGTGAACCGAGCATTATTCTAAGCTAACTTTACCAAGCTCCACCACCTCACCATTCTTTCACCATCTCCTCCCCCCTTTTCCACCACTCATTCACGCCTCCCTCTTTGTGTTCCGCCAACCACCCATCCTTAGTTCCATCATGCTTCTCAACCCCTCCGCAATCCACCACTTCGTACTACACCACCATAACGAACTCAGCCACCCCACAACCATCCCCACCAAGCCCCATCAAATCAAGTCCTACCACACCACCAAGCCCCACCACCCTACCAAGCCCCACCACCCTACCAAGCCTCATCACCCTACCAAGCCCCACCACCTTACCAAGCCTCACCACCCTACCAAGCCCCATCACCCTACCAAGCCCCACCACCCTACCAAGCCTCACCACCCTACCAAGCCCCATATGAAAAGAGACGCTGGGACAGATCACATGAAAAGAGACGCCGAGACAGATCACATGAAAAGAGACGCCGAGACAGTCAAACGACTCGTCAAGGCGTCATTAGAGACATAAACGGCCTCTCACCTGCTAGCTCGATCGTACCTTTCGTCGGGCGAAGCAAAATGGGTCGAAATTTGGAAATAAAATTAACTTTCGAAAAGTAGATTCACTTGAATTTTCGATTAGGCTGAGGCTAGATGATGCTGAGGTAAGATGATAGGGCGACAAAAAAGAAATATTGTTAGAGAGGTAAAAGGTGGATATACTCATAATTTTTGTAACGAAATCCACAATTTACATACAATAGCACGAATATTAATGGTGTGCCTGATTCACTCCAATTCCATTCACTTGAAAAACTATGGTATGCATTATAGTATACATATAGCATACATTTAGCATAGGTACATATAGTATCTATATAGTATACCTTCTCGATTAAAATTCGTACGTAATTATTCGCAAACGTAAGTTAATTCACATAATTCTAACCCGCAATAACATTCTAAGCTGCTAGGAAGAATCAAACTTTCGACGAACCCAGGACTGAAGCTCACATAGGAATATTTCTTTAGGACTCGGTTAGGAGCCACAGAATTTAAGGTTAATTTCGACCGCGGAGGTTTTAACCGGAGCCGGTATGTCAACACGGCCAGCACGAAGCTGTGTCGACCACAAGACAATACGTGTTTAATGGAGGAGCGTGCGAGATGGTGGAGTAGTGGGAGGTAGAGATGGGGTCTAGCACTGAAGCTATACCCATGTCCAAGCCATGGGGTATAGCACTGTAGCTTTGCCCCATGCCCCTGCCATGGGGTATTACACTATAATTATGCCACATGCCCCAGCTATGGGGTATAGCACTATAGCTTTGCTCCATGCCCCTGCATGCATGGGGTATTACACTATAACTATGCCATATGCCCCAGCTATGGGGTATAGCACTATAGCTATACTCCAGACCCAGGCTATTGATTATAGCACTATTGCTATACCAATGCCCCAGGCAATAGGGTATAGCCCTAAAGCTATACCCCATTCCTCCAGCTATAGGGTAGCACTATACCGAAGTCGTGGGAGGCAGCAATGGGTATAGCACCATAGCTTCAGCGCCTCAGGAAACGATGCCCCGAGGGATACCGCGTTCGAAATTACCGTCGACTGAAGATAATCATCCCTAACAACACGGCGAAGATACCGTGGAATTCCAGGCGTAAGTGCCGTGGTAGACCAGAAACCCACAGCAAATCAATCTTGATCGCAACGTAGAAACTCAAGTCTTAAGGCCACTATTCTTGTGGCACCGGAAATTTCAAGTAATATTTGGATTACTCACGCATTCGATTACTCGGTAATTTAGAATAAATAAATTAAAATTCATAAATTCATTCATAAAGTATCATTAACTTGCTCTGGACTGTATTTTTTTGTCTAGTTACTGTTTTAACATGACAAAAACCGATATATCTGGTTTGGAAATTGAATGAATAATCTCGACTATATTTTGGAGTAGTCTCATACTTACAAAGGAAACAATAATTCATCACAAAGTCTCCAGATTATCAGATACCAGAAATGTTCAGCATAAGATGGAAAAGATAAAAGGTATGATTCCACAGCGCTATACTCTTGATTTAAGCATGGCAAAGGTCAAACAATTTCCTATGACGATGATTTTAAATAGATAGCCTCAACATCAATATTGTCCAAAATTAATAATGTTATCACGTAACAAATTTTACTCTATAGGCCTGATGAGCGAAGCGATCGAATGCGATCGCTTCGTCGTATATCAAACTGCTAGTCAGCAACAGGTAATTGGTACCAATTACAAACTTACCGATTATTTGGCAAGTTCCCTACAACCCTAACAACCATATACATGGGCAAAACCTGAGCTTACACTCCCCAAAAAGTACACAAACCAATCAGAAATATGTAGCCGACTTGTTATATAATCCGAGAACTTGAGAATGTACGTAGAATCGTCAAGAACATGTATGCTGAGGACGCGGCAACATGAATTATACTCATAGACCAAACCGGCCCAGGGCGACCGCATCGAATTCGATGTCAGAGCGACGCTCGGTAACAAAGACTCGAATTTGCATGGTGATTACTTACCGGAGGAGAGGTAGTACCAGGCAAGTGGAGAGGTAGTACCAGGCAAGTGGGGAGGTAGTACCAGGCATGTGGGGAGGTAGTACCAGTGGGGACTTATACCGTCTCGATTTTTGGGATCAGCCATACTTTGCAGTACAATTCTCGTTCTGAATCAAGCATATCATACCATTTTCATGCAGCTTCGGTAAAAAAAAATATCCAACAAACAGCCTCGGTAAAACAAGGATCCTACAGACAAGGATGGCCCAAGTTTTTCGTTAAAAATAACGAAATTTCAACGAAATTTATCTTCTCTGTATGGTACCAAAAGACCTCAAACAATCTGAATATTCACCACCATGGCCATGACGCCTGAACTCTGTTAACTGGCGCTTATTTCGCACTAAACAATGTGCAGATATTCAATAGTGGAGGTTGTAGGGCTCACTTCTACAGTGGGGGACCTAGGGCTCACTTCTACAGTGGAGGACCAAGGACTCACTTCCTACAGTGGAGGACCTAGGGCTCACTTCTACAGTGGAGGACCAAGGGCCTGTCTCTTATACACATCTAGATGTGTATAAGAGACAGATCATAAACTGAGCTTGCTATGGTTTGTCACTAGCTAATTTCATCTCGGTCAAGAAAGAGAGTCCGCAAATCTACAAATGTGGATCTATTAAATCACGATCAACAGCAAAGGCATGCCAAGCTCTCAATATAAATCTAAAGTAACTAGAGCGCCTACTGCGCACAGCAGCTTAAAATCAATACCAGCACAAAAATCATTTTCAGATCTCAGAAGTCATTTCTCGTGTACAAGCACATGCGTTCAACTTAATACCGCGTATACGTAAATTACTACAAATAAGAACTTATTCTGTAATTCCAAAATAAATAGTCAATTGTATCAAAATGTTTTATGCATGCAACAGTCCGTACGCTGTACACTAAAAATATAAGTAAAGCTAATATTTACATTAAACTTTACTTTGTGTGTGCGAGGGAGTTAATTAATCCGAAAATAAGCTTTTTAGTTTATCTCCACCTATAACTAGGTACACTTAGCAGTATGGCTATCCTGTACACAACTATTATTTATTTTTTAGTATATAAACATCGCGTTATCTGTTTTTCTATATATTCTTACATCATGTGAAGCTTGATGAGTAGAGACCACCGACGATCTGGTGATTAGACACTAATAATATAATTGACATTGGACAGATATTGGTCATTCACTGGCTTCTAAATGCACTCAATACATGCATGCACACAGCGGAAAAGATTGGTCAACATCCTTTGGGTTATACTGCCCAAACATAGACACTGGCTGCGTGTAGCACTGCATGATACGTCTCTTTTCTGGGTCAAACTAGGTCAAGATGACCCACATAAGGGAAAAAACGCAAAGTTCAAAGTCTCATTTATTTCTCTGAGTGCAGCATGACTCAATGCATGCATTTAATCAACGACCAGTGAATATTTCGGCGATGATTCGGCGATGATTCGGCGATGATGTTGTACAGGTACCTGCGCGCTTCCTG